TGGCATGTTATACCACATGTACAGCCATATACAGAACCGAATGCCCTGGTCTCAGCTAGCCAATGGCAGTTCTCCATGACTGAGACTGAACACAGTCCACAAGGCCTAACTTGAGCTTCCCTACCCTCAGGGTTGAATTCCACTCAGTTCTATTACAGGTTTCGCTGCCCCTTCTTTAAAGTTGTTCAAAGTTGGGAGCTCAGAAAACTACCCTTCATGAGAACCTATGGCTCTGCAGAGTTGGTCTAAGGACTGGCCCAATCAGGAGGTTTGAGAAAGGGGCGGTCGTGGGGGTGTTTCAAGGGCGCCCGCACAGCTACCTTCCTTACTGGGTCTGTTGTTGTGCACTCTAGGAGGTTGCGCACCCACTGGGTGATCTCAGGCAGGCAGGCAGCTGAAGAGACCCCCTCCAGGGATGGCCCAATCAGGAGGTTTGAGAAAGGCGGTGGGTCATGGGGGTGTTTCAAGGGCACCAGCATGGCTACCTTCCTTACTGGGTCTGTTGTTGAGCAGTCCGGGAGATCGCACTCCTGCCAGGTGATCTCAGGCAGGCAGGCAGCTGAAGAGACCCCCTCCCTCCATCATATTTTCTAATTTTCCAAAGTTTCTAATTGACCACAGTTATACAGCTAAGCCAAGAGTCAGAGTAAGAGGTTGTTGAAAATTACCCATAGAGAGTGTGAACCATTTGTTCAGTTTACCACAATGAACAGTAAGATTTTGATAAATCTTGTCTGCAGAACATCAGTCTACACTTCTCAGATCTTGCTTTTAACATCTGATGGCTAGAACTCCAGAAAGTATGGCTAAATTTGGGCCTAGCAAGGGGTAGAGTTACATGTGGCAGACAGGAGGTGCTGAGCTAAGCCCTTAACCCCCTTTTTAAACTTTTTTGAGTCTTGTTAAGTTGTCCAGGCTAGTCTCAAACTTGTCATTCTCCTGCCTGAGCCTCTCAGACAGCTATTATATTTGAATTAAAGGCTTTAAAAAAACTTTGTTTTGAGACAGGGTCTCATTACGTAGTTCAGACTGGCACTGAATTCACTATATAGCCCAGGCTGGCTTTGAACTTGAGATGTTTCTCCTGCCTCAGTCTCCCAAATGCTGGAATTACAGGCATGCACCACCATACCCAGCTCCAAAAAGCCTTTTTTTAAGCCTAAATTTATTTTGCTCTTGAAAATTACTGGTAAAATTGTCTAGACCTTTTTTTACTCTTCTTCAATGATGATTGGTGATCTTCTGTTTTGCTTTTGTTTTTACACGTGTTTTCACAATTGCTGTGACAAAATAGCTAAGGTAATCAACTTTTAACTCACAGTTTCATAGGTTTCAGCACATGATCCAATGGCACAGTAGTTTCTGGTCTGTGGAAGCACAGTACATCATCACAGCAGGAGCATGTAGTAGAGGAGGCCTGTTTGGAAAACAGGAGAAAGGAAGAAAGGTGCCTGGGTCACGATATTCCCTTCACAGGCATATCCCCAATGTCCCCAGGGATCTAATGCCTTTCCATCAGAACCCTTCTCTTAAAAGTTTCACAACCTCCCAGTAGCACCACCAGGCTGAAAACCAGGGCTTTAACACACAGACCATTAGGGGGCATTGCAAATCCAAATTGTAGCAATGATGTAGGTTCACCGAATTCTCTATAGCTACCCTCTTTTCCTCTTCATCAGAAATTTGCCAAGAAATGCTTTAAATTTCAGTCCAGACAACCACCCCAGACTTTCTGGAGTTGCTCTCTGTTTTAGAATCTTACAAAAACTAGATCATACTTTTTTTTCTGAAGCTATAGAGATAGCCATTTAAGAAATAGATTTTCAAAGTGATACTTTATTCGATTAATTAGTCAATTCCCCTGTCCAGAACGAGAAATTATTTGTAAGCCACCCTGACAGAGGAGACTTACAGTGAGAAGAGATGTTGGATTGTAACAATAGGGAAGTTAATTTGCAATGCAAATGAGAAGCAGCAGGCAAATGAACCCTTATGGGAAAACCACTCTAATCATAAAACCACTGCTTTGGGGGGACTGCATTGTAAGGACAAGCAGAATCACAGCTCCATATAGCATGTTAGGGAATTATCCAGGTAGTTTTCTATGAAATTACATTTAAATGAAACAAAATGCATCATTTGGCAATAGATAATATCTAAAAATTGAATCCATAATTGCAAACTGAATTATTTATGATTGTCACCATATAGCTATGATTGTTTGGATATAAAATAGTCAGAATTTTCCCTCTGTTTTTATTTGTAGGAAAACAAGTCATTCAAGCTTTTTAGTGATACAATGTGACTTGCTGTCAATGGTATTTTCAAGTCCTGCCAAGCACAGGAGTACCCAGAAGGGACATATGTTTTCTCTGCCTTGTGTTCCAAATTTGCCTTAAAAACTTGCAATTATGTGAAGGCCTGATTTATATTTTCAAGGAAAAGCACAATAATGGCCCTGTTCTTTAGCTGGCTGTTTCTCCAAAATGTATTTATGTTACTGCCTTTTCAAAAGAAGTTGGCTAATGATTATTGGATTTTCATTTTCTGCCATGACATATGATAATTTGATGAGGTCTGTGAAATTTAAGAATTGATTTCTTAAGTGTGATACAACCTTAGTTAATATAGGTTTAGACCTCAATTGCACAAATTTGTAGTCACCTTTAATCTTTTTCCTTATTGTTGAGGAGGGTAGAAAAAGGGGAGGCAGAAAGTGTGTGTATACATAGCCAGGAGACAGAGATAAGTAGAAAGATGGGGACAAAGTACAAAACTTATGTGGCTCCAGGCAGCTATGAGTGTGTTATGCTTGTATCTCCAGGAAGTCCAGGATGGGGTGACATATTTGTTGGGGTTGGTTCTGGGGAGAAGTTGTGAAGGCAAGAAGTGAGGTTTTTTTGGTCACATTTTATGCTTAAAAGAAAATTATTGTAAAGCCTTTCATCAATTATATACTCACAGTGGCTTTAGATTCTTGATCTTCATTGTTGTTATTAATGATGGTATCTCTGTACTCTCTCAGCATCATTTACTATAAATTTGTTGAATGAGAGGAAAATTAGTCTCTTTCTAGACTGGGGAGCCCCCTCCTGGGAGACAAGGCATTTTGTTGTTGTCGTTCATTGTTCTTTGTTCAGAGAAAGGTGAAAGGCCAATTCCATAAAATAACGTAGTTAGTGGTCAAGTAATTATTACAATATAGAATTTCAGAAACTATTAAAGCTTAGGGGAAAAGACATTTGGGTGTGGTAGAATGAGGAAAGTTTGTGTAGGGACACTATACATTCAGTATTTTGCTTTTTGTTGGAGGGTAGTGCTTTTTTTTTCTTTTGTTGTTTTTTTTGTTTTCTTTTGTTTTTTGGAGGTTTTTTTGTGTCATTGTTGTTGTTTGAACCTGTGAAACACAGGTTCTCACTGTGTTTCACAGGCTGGCCTCAAACTCCTGGGCTTAAGCAATCCTTCTGCCTCAGCCTCCAGAAAAGCTGAAACTATAGGCATGCACAAGTGTGCCCAGCCATTGCACTATGTATTGATTGCTTTGTGAAAATCTACAGACAGTTAATTTAGTAATAAACATGCTTTATGTAACTTATGGACTGATAAAGTGTTTATATCATTTATTTAGAGTGTATACTATGTGAAAAATCAAGACAATAGAATGTCTTCTTTATAGCTTTCTGATTTTAAAAGAAATAATTTTCAAATCCTTAAAAAACTTGTTGAACCTCCTGGGATTTATATTCTGAGTCTAGGAGGAGAAGTCACATGCATTCTCCTAGAGGCCTTGCCTTATTAATAAGCTCGGGTCCAGATATAGATATAGATAGATAATAGATATATATACACATATGCATATAGATATACATATAGATATAGATAGATAGAGATGATATCAATTTTTATGTTTTTTGAGCCTGGTAAACTTTTTTTGCTGTTGTGGGTTCTGGAGAATGTTTTGTCAAGGAAAATTCCAAATCTATTCACTGGTGATGTCAAGTAGCCCCTCAGTTTGATAGAACCATTTTGGCCTGCATCTAAATACTGTTGAGATCTTCCCCCTGTCGTCTTGAGATAGTTAGCTCCTGAGTTCAGTTCTTGCTAGAAGACATGTATAGGGATTTTTCAGAATAGACTTCAGGCTTAGTGTTTCTCCATTCCAAAATCAGGTTTCTAATTCTGTTCCTCCATGAAAACAAATCAAAAGTAACTGTTGGATCATTCAAAGTAGAATTTGAAAAGTGCTTTTATTTTAGAAAACAGTGGCTATCCCAGTAGCTATGGGGTCTGTCTGACTTTTATGTACCTTTGAGGTTGGTATACACAGCTTTTATAAGATGACCTTCTCAGAGAAAAGCCAATTTTCTCCTCTATCTTCTTCAAGCCTAGTAGCATAGTAAAAGAACATCAGAGTTCAACTTGGTTGTACCTGCTAGTAACAGTTTATTCATTCCAAACCAGAAGCTTGGGAGTTTTAGCTAAAAACAGCTGACCAAAAGAGAATACTTTTTCCTAACATTAAGAGTAGCAAGAGCTTCAAAACATGTGTCCCAGAAAAAAAGGTGGCAAGGTAGCAAGTTCCTTCTTGTTTCAACCCAGAAGAGAAGGGACGGGGACAGAGGAAGTCTAATGTTCAGGATCCCTGGACAAGGGTCCTATCCCTGGAAAGAGTCTTTGGAATGTGATGTACAAAATATTTTCAGTCTTCCTTTTCTAGTTTCAGCTGTTTCTGATTTTTTTTTCTTTCTTTTTGCTTCCTCAAGCAAATGTTTATCCTTCCTCCTTACTTCTCATTCTGTCTCCACCTCCTCTTTCCATCCCAGGCCAGCTGGAGTAAAGACGTAGAACAATAAGAGTTGAAATAATCTAAGAGTTTCTTATCTAAGATTATCTCACTAGTTTTAGAAAAATGGAAATTATGAGTTTCTAAAAATTAAATTTTATGAACATCACTGTCGGTGTTTTATCATTTTACTTTACTTTCTTTTTGTCTTCATAAGATTGAACATCAAGTGACCCTGGAAGAACTACAAAATCTGAATGCACTATTTCAGGTAGGAACTGGCCATGTAAACTTTTAAAATATGCATCTGAATAATTTTATTCTCTTTTAGAAGTTGGGTGTTTTTTTTTCAGTATAAAGTACAATCCTTTTAATTTCTATAAAATAGCACTGAAGAATAAAATTTTGACTGTCATTTCTTAATGGAATTAGAAACAAATTGTAAATGCATCAGAGAAATGAACAAAAAAGTTAATATGTTTATGTTGACTGAGTTTAGGTAAGTGTAATTAGACATTCAATCATTTAGGCTCTTGATTTTAGATTAAACAAAATACCATTACATGTTTCTACCTAATTATATTCCCCTTCCTCCCCGTCCTCATTATCTCCTCCTCCTTCTCCTCCTCCTGCCTCATCCTCCTCTTTCACTTGCTCCTACTTTGTCTCCTTCTTCCTCTTTGTTCTTTTTTCCTCTTTAAGGAGCATGAAAAGAGAGGAAGACAACTGCTGGATATGGAAACATTCAAAAGCATAATGAAGCAGAGTATGAAGTCCCAGAATAAAGTAAGTGGGTTTTCTAAATATTAGATCACTGAAACCACCATTAAGGCTTTAACCATGTGACGAGTTAAGTTTGATGATTTACCTATAAGATCGCTCCTCTCTAAACCATGATTTCTAAGACTCATCTGATTTACTGAAGAGTTTATGTATGAATTACTTTTCTCATTGCTGAGACAAAATACCCAACATCCAAAGTTCAAGGAGGAAATGTTTGTTTTGGCTTGCAGTGTGTAGAGGTTTCAGTCAGTAATTGGCTGGCTCCGAGGCAGGGTGTGTTGGTGGAGGAGAAGCAGGAGGGAGCAACAGCAAGCAGCCCTTTCCCTTTTATCCCATCCAGGCGACAAGCCTTTTGGATGGTACTACCCACACTCAGGTTGGGACTTCCACTACCCACACCTAGAACTACAAAAACGAATTAGTGGACAAACCTAGTACCACATAACCTTAATCCCAGTATCACACCCTTAATCCACATTCATACATCCTAGATCCAGTCACATCTGAAAAACCCCACCTATGAGTATATTAGGCTTTAGGGAGACATCTAGATACAAGCCATCACAGTTTATATGGGAAGATACTTAAAAATTACCTAGTATACTAGACCAACAAGATATTTAAAGACTTTTCTTAAAAGGAGGGAAAGGACTTTATTAGATCATTGATAATTTGTATATGGATTTTCATCCAGTTTTGCACTGTACCCATGCCCTCAGTCTACTGGAATTAGTATTTTAAACATTTTTCTCTGCCTTATTATTTAGCCTAAAATATGAAATCTTAATAAGATCTTGCACATATTATAAGATAAAATACATATTATAAAGGGACACTCTGAGCTTTATTTGTCAAGATTTCAATTACATCTTATTATAGAAAAAATATTCAAGTTACAGCTCTACGATCCTGTCCCCATGTTTGAACAAAATGTACCCTTGTCAAACTGTAGGTTAATGAAGCCATTAGCTGCTTCTTCCAAGTGCAAAGTCCCTGGATCTGATGGCTGTAGTAGAAGTTTAGATGTGTTTAGAGTTTCACTTTCTGTGGGAAGGGAATATCATAGCACATCTATTTTTAGAAAGTCTCCCTGCCTTCTCTTTTGGCTGCCATGACCAAGTAAGTACCTTGGGCTGGGTAGTTTCTCTATAAGAGACTCATTTCTCAATGTTCTGAAGGCTGGAAGTCCAGGATTAAGCCACTAGCAGATTTGTTTTTTAGAGAGCCCCTTCCTGACTCACACACTCCTTTCTGTGTCCCCACCTGGTGGAGGATCTGGGGTGTCCTTTTGGGGACTGTTTTTTATAAGGGCATTGATCCTAATCACAAGGGTTACACTTTCATGAGGTGTAGGCCCCACCTTCTAAAACATCACTTTGGGAGTTAGGATTTCAACAGAAGAATTTTTGAAGAAAAGAAAGATTCAGATCATAGCACCTCTATTTGTATAAAGTGAAATAAGGAATTTTTGTTGGAAAGAAGAAATTTTTTTTCTCTCTCATTGAGTTTATTGGTACATTTTAGGTATATAGTAAAGTTACATTCATCATTGGGATCTTGTACCTTTACATAACAGGTCATGGTTCTCATTTTTTCCCTCCCTTCACCCCCTCTTACCCTCCCCTTTTACAAACACTTTATTTCCATTTTTTCATTTTCTCGCATTTTTTCTTTTCCCTTGTTCCCTTTCCCCTACCCTTCCCACTTTCCCTACACCTTTAGCCCTTTTCTTCCTATTTCACATGGTCAATTATCTCATTAGGATCTTATGTACTATTATAGCTTTTCACACCAGAGCAACTATTCAGTATTTATGTATGTGTGACTTATTTATTTCACTTAGGAGTATATCCACAATATGCATCCATTTTCCTAAGAATGAGTCTAATTTATTGCTCTTTATGTCTGAATAATATTCCATGTTACAGAAAAACCACATCTTTATCCAGTCTCCAACTGATTGGCAAATGGGCTGTTTCCAAGCTATAGCTATTACAAACTGTGCCACTATAAACATAGGTGCACACATATCACTGTGATATGATTCTTTTAATTCTTTTGGAAAGATACCCAGCAGAGGGATGGCTGGGTCAAATGGAACCTCTAGTACCAGCTCTTTGAGGTATGTCCATATTGATTTCCATAGTAGTTGCACCAGTCTGCACTCCCACCAACAATGGAGAAGGGTTCCTTTCTCCACACAAGCCCACCAACATTTGTTTTTGGTTGATTTCTTGATTGCAGCCATTCTTTGTGGCCATCTCGGTATTGTTTTCATCTGCATCTCTCGAATGACCAGGGATATGGAACATTTTTTTCATACATTTACTTGCTGCTTTTATTTCTTTGTCTGAGAAATATCTGTTCATTTCAGATGCCCATTTTTTAATCCAGGTCTTTATGTTTTGGGGGGGGCTGATTGTTTTTGAGTTCTTTATATATTCTAAATAAGAGTCCTTTGTAAAAGGAGTAGCTGGTTGCAATTTTTTCCCACATTGTAGGTTGTCCCTTAGTTCTGCTGATAGTTTATTTTGCAGTGCAGAAACTTTTTAAAAAGATGAGATCCCAGTTGTTGATTTTTTCTGCTAGTTCCCCTGCTACTGAGGATTTGTTCATAAAGTCTTTGTCTATGCCAATGTCTTCAAGAGTTCTGCCTAACTTATCTTCCAGCAAGTTCAGTGTTTCTTTTTTAATATTAGATCTTTAATCCACTTGGATTTTAGTTTAGTGCACGGTGAAAGATAAAGGTCTAATTTTAATCTGTGGCAGGTTGAAATCCAGTTTTTCCAACACCATTTATTAAAGAGACTATCTTGACTCCAGTGAGGATGGTCAGCTCCTTTGTCAAAGATGAGGTAGCTGAGTACATCTGGAGTTGTTTTTATATCTTCTAATCTATTCCACTGATCCTCAGGTCTGTTTCTTTGCCAGTACCATGTCATTTTTATCACAGTGGCTTTGTAGTATAGATTCAAATTGGGAATTGTCATACCCACTGCCATGTCTCTGTTGCCTGGGATGGCTTTTGCTATTCTAGGTCTCTTCTGGTTCCAAATGAATTTTTGGATTCTTTTTTCTAGTTCTGTGAAATATGGTGTTGGAATTGGCATTGCATTGAATCTGTATAGCAGTATTGGTGGTATGGCCATTTTCAATATGTTGTTTCTTCCTACCCAGGAGCAGGGGATATCTTTCCTATTTTCTTATATTCTGTTAGATCTCTTTTTTCAGAGTGCTGTAGTGTTCAGTGTAGAGGTCATTTGCTTCTTTCGTTAGATTGACTCCTAGATACTTCATTTTTTTGGATGCTATTGTGAAAGGAATTGTTTCCCTAATTTCTTTCTCAGTGAGTCTTTTATTTGTGTACAAGAAGGCTATGGATTTTTGAGTGTTGACCTTGTATCCAGCTACTCTGCTAAAAATGTCAATTAAGTCTAAATTTTTTTGGTGGAGTTTTGGGGTCTTCAATGTAGAGTATCATATCATCAGCAAATAATGACAGTTTAACTTCTTCCTTTCCTATCTTTATTGCTTTAATTTCTTCTCTTGTGTAATTGCTGTGGCTAATGTTTCCAGAACTATATCAAAGAGGAGTGGTGATAGTGGGCATCCTTGTCTTGTTCCTGATTTTAATGTGAAGGTTTTCAGTTTTGGGCCATTTAATATGATGTTGGCTGTTGGTTTTTCATAGATAGCCTTTATTAAGTTCAGATATGGACCATGTATTCCAATTTTTTGCAGGGTTTTTATCATGAATGGTTGTTGAATTTTGTCAAATGCTTTTTCTGCATCTATCAAGAGGATCATATGGTTTTTGTTCTTGACTCTGTTTTTATAGTGTATTACATTTATTATTGAGTTTATTGGTACATTTAGGGATACAGTACAGTTACATTCATTGTTGGGATCATGTACCTTTACATGGCAAGTCTTGATTCTCATTTTTTCCCCTTAGCTTTGCCCTCCCTTCACCCCCTCCACCCCTCCCCATCTACAAACACTTTATTTTCATCTTTTCATTCTCTCACATTTTTTTCTTTTCCCTTTTTGTTCTTCCCCTACGTATCACACCTTCCCTACACCTTTAGCTCCTTTCCTCCCATTTCTAAATGTCAGTAATCTTATTAGAATCTTATGCATTGTTGCAGAATATTCACACCAGGGAAA